GTCATCGTCATCATCGTCATCGTCATCATCATCATGATTATTATCATCATCAGTAGCAGCAGCAGCAGCAACGGCAAGAACAACAACAGCGGCAACATCAGTAGCAGCAGCAGCAGCAGCAACAACAACAGCAGCAGTAGAGTAATTATAAAGTATTAATACGTATTTATGATGTTATATACGTTTATCATGTTATGCTCAACCAGTTGTTCCATCGATGTATGAATACATGTCTGTATGTCTTATTGCACAATCAAACCTCTGGACTGTGAGTCTGTTGTTTCCACCGTCTTTTTCCTGGCTTCGCAAATGAAATTGGCTAGTGTAATGTTATACTACTAATATAATATAAATAATAAAATAAAATACACTAATCTTATCATAGCCTGATTAACGCCGTCAAATATAATCACCGAGTGGTCGCGCTACAGGCAAAACGCATTGCCACACTCCAGCTATTCTCGCCAGGGTCTTTAATGATTCTCTGGCGTTCCTGTGGGAAGGTTCCAGTATGTATGACTGCTCTAGTGATTGCACGTGGACACGCAGTGACAACGATGATGTTTGCTGTAATGAAACCACGAGAGAGTAGTTAGGTGAAGCCTAACGCATGACGAAGACCATGTTACAGCTGATGCATAGCGGATGACGTTGCGAAACTGGACGAAAGGAATTTTATGAAGGCTAACAGACGTTGTGTCTGTCTGTCTGTCTGTCTGTCTGTCTATCTGCCCCTGGCTATCTGTCACCCAGCCATCCATTCATCTATTTATCCATCCCTTAATCCGTCCGTCCGTCCGTCCATCTATCCATCCATACATCCAGCCATCCATCTGTCCGTCCGTTCGTTCGTTCGTCCGTTCGTGCGCCCATCCATCCAACCATCCATCCATCCATCCATCCATCCATCCAACCATCGATCGATCGATTAATTCATTGTTCCACCCATCCACCCATCGATCGATTCATCCATCCATCCATCCATCCATCCGTCCACCCATCCACCCATCCGTCCATCCAAATATATATATATATCTATCTACTCGTGGGTGACCTGTAATTTATCTCGCGTCTTACTTACAGATTTCGTGGATATTAGTGGCGCGTTATCATCTCTCGTGGGCACTATACGCCCTCAACAGCTATCTTCACCGTCTCCTATAACGCTATAGTACGCACCAGTAGCCGGCAGCTGCGCTCCGTGTATCTGTAATTCCGGCTGTTGAGCCGAGAGCCTCTCCGTCGACGTCGTTCGTGTTGTCGGCAGTAATCGCGCCTGGGCGCGCGCCGACGGTTCAATCAATGGTCGACGCGACGCACACAATGCCGACGCGGCGGAAGTGCATGCGCGTGCTTCCGCCGCGTCGCCGACTGTCGGCCGTTGATGTCGCTCCGAGTTACTGTGTCGTGTGTGTACGTACGGGGGAGGGGAATGGGTGGGTGTGGCGCGGCCGGACCGCCACTAACAATGGTGCCAGCGGCAGCAGTGATTTACAGCGGGAACTTAACGTACTCTCCCGTGCGCCCGAGTGCGAGCGTACGATCTGTAATGCACGCAACAAACAAACAAATAAATAAACAAAAAAATAAGTAAAAGCGTATAAAAAAGCGGTAGAAATACTAGTAATATAAAAGTGTCACAACGTAAAAGATTTCATTCACTATAAAATGAGCAGGGATTGCTCCCGTCGCCTTAAAGAAGTCGTCTCTTTTCCTGTTTGTTCACGATTACACGCACAGCCTGTTACGTGGAGACGTGTGCATGCTGTTATTGTGTTACGAACGGCGCATCATAATCATCATCTTCGTCATCATCATCATCATTATTATTATCATCATCAGTAGCAGCAGCAGCAACAGCAGCAGCAGCAACGGCAAGAACAACAACAGCGGCAACATCAGCAGCAGCAGCAACGGCAACAGCAGCAGCAGCAGCAGCAGCAACAACAACAACAGCAGCAGTAACAGCAACAACATCAACAACAGCAGCAGCAGCAGTAACAAAACAGCGACAGCAGCAGAAACGCCAACAGCAACAGCAGCAGCAGCAGAAACAACAGCGGCGGCGGAGACAGCAGCAGCAGCAGCGCCAGCAGCAGCGGCAACCCCAGCAGCAGCAGCGGCGGCGGCGGCGGCGGCGGCGGCAGTAGCAGCAGCAGCAACTCGTTACATGTGCGCATCGCCCGCCTGACTGCAGTAATACGGTCGTTCACAGTCCGAATGAATGTAGTAGAATAGAGCAGTCTCTGCTACATCTACGCTGCTACAAACCGAGATTATCATCAAGTTTTTATGCACATAATAATAAAATGGTTCGTATATGTATGTACATAGGGCCGTGGCTCATTGTAAGGATTCACTACTTCGAGTTGAGCGATTATCGGCTAGCAGTAATATCGGCAGGAGCTTTTTTGCATAATAAAGCGGTTTTGCATAGCGAGAATGTGAGAGCAAAATTATGCATGAGTATACACGAGTTTGGTATTTTGATATGTAAAAAGGAAACTTCTTTTTCGTCAGTGTCGCTTCTCTGTATATGTGCAAACGGTTGATTACTGCGCACACGATGGACCATGCGGTGGTTTTTGGCAATCGTGCACAGACGTCAGAAGGTGTTTTATGATTTCGTCCTCTATTTAAAAAGTGCACGTGCTCAATATTTTACAAATCATTGCGTAGTCGCACTCCTATGGCGTTTACAGAAAGATATGCAGCCCCTGGTGG